AAAGCCAGCTAGGACCAAGCAAGTACTCCCCTTAGGGAGGGGTCCCTAACGGGCCAGCAAGGACCCAGGGAGCCCAGGCCTGGCCCCTCGGGGCTGTGGCCGCACCTGCCCCTGTGTGGCTGCTCTGGTCCGGCCATCCCCTGCCGCTGGACGCCTCCTGGCATGTCTGTGTCAGGTGCCAACAAACAGAGCACCGGCAGCCTGGGCATGGCTGAATGCAAGGCAGAGTGGGCACCCAAGGGTGACAGGCAAGGTCCTGCTGTCCAGCCACAGGGGAAAGGGATCTGCAGATCTGGGGTGTGTCTTGCAGACCAGAGACTAGCAGGCAGGCCCGGTTCCTCAGGCAGGAACCACAAGGGGCCACCAGGAAGAGGGTCTCAGGCGCTGGAGGGGGAGGCCACAGGTGGGCCGGGGCAGGGCTACTGACCAGTGAGTGCCTGAGGACTCTGACCGCAAGTCCAGAAGGAGAAGGTGACTTCAGGCAGGTGAGCCCTGGTGTGGACGGGCACAGCTCTGGGCAGAGTAGGCACCACTCCTGCAAGCAGGCAGCTCCCGGCGAGGGGAGGGGGGGTAGCAGCTAAGCAAAGAGGAAGAAGGACCTGAGACGCAGGGAGGGGCACGGAGAGATGGAGACAGAGGGAAAGACGGGGAGACGGGGGTGGCTGGAAGGGCCCAGTCCCCCGGAGATCAGTCAGAGAAAGCACACCGGCCCCTAACTCCCCACCAACGTGCAGTCATGTTCCCGACTCTGAGATTTTGATGGAAGTGAGGAGCCTGCGTCCTAAGAAAGCAAGCAGACACGCGGCACAGCCCCTCACGTGCGACTTTGGGGGGTCACAAGCTCTCAGGACCCATGGGGACCGTAGGCAAGAAGGGACATGGCTGTGTTTCCCCCAGTTACTGTAACAAACCACAAACTCATCATGGCTTGAAACAGCCCAAGTTTATTATCACACGGCTCTGTAGGCTCTGGTCCCACAAGACCCACACAGGCCTGAGGTCCAGCCGTGGGCAGGCGCGGGTTGGCTCTGGAGGCCCCAGGCGAACGCGGATCCCCGCAGCCGGCAGCTTCCAGCCGAGTCCTTCTCAAGCGCGTCTCCTGGTTCTCTCTCTTCCACGTCCCTCTCCCACTTGGGAGGACCCCTGATGGCACTAGGGCCGGCAGATGATCCAGAAGGATGTCCCCATCTTACCTGCGTCTTTAACTCTATGACTTCAGTTCCACTTTGCCGCATGAAGGAGCCTCTCTTTTGGCTTCAGGGGTGAGGACGAGGACCTCTTTGGAGGCCAGTGTTCTGCTGACCACCGCAGTAAAGACGTAATCAGATGACAGAAAAGACAGGAGCACATACGTGGAAATAGGGCCATTCCAGCAAGGAATCAAAGGAATATAAATCACCAACCCAAGACCCCATTCTTCAGTCCCATGGGCCAAATGACAGCAGAAAGCAAGGGAGATTTGCTGAAAACTGTGAACATTTCACATGGTGCCGTCTCTTCCCCTGGCCCCCAGCCCCTCCCACCCTGGGGCCACTGCAGGCTCCTCTGCCTGGCCCCCTCAGACCCCTGCCTCCCCGAGGTCGTGCAGCGGCAACAACCAGAGCTGCCCCACCCAGCCAGCTCTCCACTCCTGGGCCCTGGCAGCCACTCTCACCAGTGTGACTCACAGCCGCCCACTCCAGAGGGCAGGGTCCCTGTGCGGGGGCAGGACGTGCAGCCCCAGGGAGCAGCTGACTCAAGGCTCCAGCCTCACCCAGAGCTGGCAGGGTGCGTCCAGCTGGCCAGCCTGGTGTGGGTGGTCTGCTGGGGACCCTCACCGGGAGGTCCAGCACCCACCAGAGGCCAGGGCAGGGGCACCTGCACGTGACACTCTGGAGCTTCCCCAGGTCTCACTGGGCCGCCTGGGCGGGTGTGAGCTGTGGCTAGACCTGAACTGAGCACGTGATCCCCACAGCTGCAGTCCGTCCCAGCCCAGCTCCTCCAGACAGGTACCCAGATGCCCAAAACGAGGCCCAGGACGTGACACCCCCCCACCCCCCACAGCTGGAGTCCACAGGATCAGCTGACTTCCCAAGCAGCCAAGATGGGGGCAGGGGTGGATCAAGCATTAGAGTGCCTGGGCCGGAGAGCCCTTGTGGAGCCCCAACCAGCAGGAGGAGAGGTCTGAGGCCACTCCTGAATGTCCCATCTGGGGTGGCAGAGGAGGGAAGGAGAAACACTCAGGCACAGTGGGCAGTCTGTGAACACAAGAGCCCGCTGCCCACAGATACCGTGGTCCACAGAGCAGCTCAGAAAGCATCTGTTTTTCTTGATTTCGGTTGTCATTAGACAGGCCCAGACCTGGGCTCCTGCCACCAGCATGTTCGAGAAAAGTGCTAAGAAAGGGTGTCCAGTGCCACTGGGGGACTGCCACACTACTGAGGGACACCAGGGCCTGCTAGGAGGAGGAGGCACATACGGGGCCATGCCGGGGTCCTGGCTGACTTTGGGGGGCAGCAGTGTCCTGGGACATGTTGCTCTCCGGGGAAATGTACAAGGAGGAGGTGAAGGTTCCCTCCAAGCCCAGCAGTGGAAGGAAGAAGAAAGGAGCAGGCAGACCCCTTGCTGTGCTGGGAGGCCCGGCTTCTCCTTAGAGCAAAAGCACGTGATGGCCGGAGACGCTGGGGGTGAAGCTTGACGGGGGAAGGCGGGCCTGGGTCACACCTCTCCTTCGACCTCTGGACAGAGCTGAAGAAGGGTGCCCACGGCTCTGTCCCACACAGTGTCCTGGACCAACCACAGCCAAGCCAGAGACACTGGACAGCCAGAAGGACCCTCTGGAGACCCTCCAAGAGCCTTGTCTGGCCCGTCAGGGCTCCACGGAGTGGGACTTCCCCGAGGATGGACGTGGGAGAGCTGGAATTCCAGTATCACAGAGCAGGCTCAGGCACGTGGTGGCCTCGGATGTCCACAGGAGGCTCTGAGTAGCAGGAGGGCAGGGATCTCAGAAATGGCCAGCCCCTCCGGCCACCAAGCAGCCTTGGATGGGGGCTGCTCCACGTGGTATCCAGCTCCCATGCTGTGCAACCCCCACCCTCTCCCCCCACACCAGTGCCACCCTGGGAACAGAGGCACACCCAGGGAGGACACTTCCCCCCCTCCCGCTGGCCCTGCTCTCTCTCCAGACCCCCATCAAGAAGACTTCTCCCCCAAGCCAGCTCTCACCGGCCACCACTGTGTCTCTCCATGAAGAGCTGAAGCCTCAAGGGCAGTGGGAGCTGCTGTCCACCCCGGACGTCAGCCCATGGGGTCAGGTCCCCGGGTCCTCCCAGGGTCCCTGAACTGACAGAAGGCGGAGCGCCAGCCCTAAAACCGAAACCCAACCTTCTCGTTTTGCAGCACCTGCAAGCCCCGCCGCATCCTCCCGGGTCAGAGTCAACACCCAGAAAACCCCACAGCGTGAACCCGGCCGCAGGTTCTCTGTGGCCCTGGCACACCTGCTCCAGGCATAAACACGGCAATTACCAGCCGCGGTAGGACCTGTTCCCATCGCCACCCCTGCTGCCTCGGGTGACCGCCCTGCTCCCTGCTGTGCAGGTGTGGAGCACCTGCTTCTTGTTGTGACCTGCAGGGGCCCACGGACCTGAGCCAGCTCGTGCCTGAGCCAGGCCACACTACCTGACGCAGGCCACACCTGAGCTAGCACAGGGCACCTACCTGTGGCCGCACAGCATGCCTGAGTCTTGGGTGCGGCTGGTACGCTCCTGGCTGTGTAGTGTCCTCTCCCGGGGCCCCCTCCGGTCTCAGCAGCTGCTTCCCTTAGTCAGCTGATTCACAGATGCGGATGCTTAGGTCTGACTACCTGATACCCCGGTGACCCCTAGAGGGTGAGTAGTGTCCTCCCAAATTCCCATCTTCTTAGAACCTGTGACTGAACTTATTTGGAAATAGGGTCTTTGCAGGTGTCATCACTTAAGACGAGGCCGCTCCGGTCCCTGTAACTGGCGTCCCTGTGAGAGGAGGGACTCAGACACAGACGCACAGACGGCAGGAGGAGGCAGAGCCCGGAAACACGCTTCCACAGGCCGAGGACTGTCGGCAGCCACCAGAAACCTCCCCCTCCCCTAGAGCCTTCAGAGGGAGCCTGGGCCTGCTCGCACCTTGCTTTTGTACTCTGGCCTCCAGAACGACTTTGGTCTGTCCAAGCCTCAGTCTGTGGGCGTTTGTTACAGCGGCTGCTGGGGACCTGCTCATCCTCCAGCGTGTGGAGGTCGCCCAGTGCCGACCAGCTCCCCACTGCCCAGACTGGCCGTGGCCCGGGGCGTTTGGGGGAAGCTGCAGTCAAAGGGCAGGATCTGGGCTACCAGGAACGGGAGGGCCGGTGCTAAACCGGATAGAGGTGGAAGGAGGAGCTGAGGCACGGGCTGGCTGAGGCACGGTGGTGTTTTCTGAGGCACGAGAGTAACAGCCTCACTTAGAGTCGGGGCCGGAATGAAGGGCCGGGAGCAACAGGGCCGCTGGGTCTCCTTCAGGTGTGCTGCCCCTAGGACAGGCCCTGACCCCACAGCAGACCCCACAACAAGGCTGCGGGGCTTCTTCAGGTGTGCTGCCCCCAGGACAGGCCCTGACCCCACAGCAGACCCCACAACAAGGCTGCAGGGCTCCCTCGGGTGAACTGCCCCCAAGAGAGGCCCTGACCCCAGTCCGGGGCCACGCACACCTGCCCCGGGCTGCGGACCACGCACCACGGCTCCATCAGACGCTGGCCTTTATTCTCTGGAATGGAAACAGCCTGCAGCCCAAAAGTGACCACGGCCAGTAAAGCACATTCTTTGAAAAGCAAAAACAAAACAAGAAATACGTATTTGGCTCCGTCAGTTTCCGTGACAAGAAACAACTCTGATCGGTACGCAGGCGGTGTGCAAACCGGCGCGGGGCGTCCTCTGTGGGCTCCGGGCATACCAGCCGAGCACAAGGACGTCAGGTGCTTTGAAAAACGGTATGAAATGGCACACAAGGCATTTTAAGACTCTGGAGTTTGTTTCCTATGGACTTTTCTTTTTTTAAAAAAAATATAATAACTTAGTTTGCATTTTACAACATTTCCCATCAGTCAGGGAGCCCTCGGCTGGGACCTCGTGGCGTGTGCCCCTGCGGCCTGAGCCCCAGGAGCCCCGATCCGAGCACCCCGTGCCCCCGTCACTCCGTGCCCATCTCGCAGGGGTTCAGGCCCCTCTCCTCAGCGTCCCGGTACAGCCTCTGGAAGTCCCTGAAACGCGGGGCACAGCCAAGCCAGGCCTCCCCGAAGCGCATGTGGCCGGTGAAGAGGAAATCCCCACGTCCGGGCCGCACGCCGCACTCCAGCAGCGTGAGCACACGTCCCTGCCAGCCGCCACCCTCCGGAGCCGGCCAGAAAACCCTGCTCTTCTGCCGGTAGAGCCGGCTCACGTGCAGGTGGATGGTGGACTCCTGCTGCTCTGGGGCATGAGTGACGTTCTGGATAGAGCCTCGTACAACTGCGGAGACAAGGACACGGGGGTCAGCGGGTCACCGGGGGCATCTGCGCCAGGGCCGACCCCGGATCCTGCGCTCCGGAAACCCCAATAAAAAGAACAATTCACAAGCATGAGGCCTGGAGGGGCTGTCCCTGACCCTGTCGCAGGTAAAGATATTTGTCCCCAGCCATGTAAGTGGGAGAAACAGGAGCTAGAAACCACCCGTGCATCACCCTTTCAAGTTGGAACAAGACAGGGGACCCCAGTTAGCACACGGGACCTGCAGCGGCTCTGAATCATGGTGGGGCAGCGCGGTGGAGCTCAGAGGGGAGGAGGTGATGGGCAGGGGCAGGCAGAGCCGGCCCTCACCCAGGACCCTGCCCAGCCCCAACCCTGGCTATGCAGGACCTCATACGTGCCCTTGGGGCTGGGAGTGCTCGCAGCCAGGCCCTACTGGGCTGGCTTCCTGTCCGGCCCCAGCACCACACGCAGCAGACGGCTTCCATCCTCTGCCTGAGAGCGCAGGTGCCACTGTCACAAGTGGGCAGTGGAGTCCCTGACCTCAGCCCCTGCCCCCCGCCCCCGCCAGGGTCCCTGGTCCCCAGGGGCAGGAACTCCCGCTACAGAATCCGCAGGGGACCCAGAGGAGAACAGGGCTCTGAGGTGAGGCTAGCATCCGTGTTTGGAGGAAAATGCTCGGTGACCACCTGACCCTCTCCCGGCCTTACAGACAGGGTACAGAGTCACTCTCCTGCCCAGGAAAAGAGCTCTGGAAGGTCCTCCAGGCCCAGGGGGGCTCCCTACATGTGGTGGGGCACGAGGACACTTACCGAAGTCGCTGGTGCAGACAGCCAACAGTACCTCAGCATCCCCGCAAGGGCGGCACGGGGCTGCGGGCAGAGAACAGAGTCAGGAGTGGGGTCTGCGGGACCAAGGCCTCCGCTCGTGCTCGCGAGGTCCTGTAAGAGCTCTGAGCTCAGGGCGGGACAGAGAACCCGAACCTCAGCCACGCAGTGGGGGGCCGACTGCCCCAGCAGACACCTTCAGCTCCAGATGTGGCTGTGAAGGGCACGTACCCTGAGGGCGACTGGCCTCGGTGCTGGTCCCCACTTGGCCTGCCCCTGCCCCACGGGAAACCAACCTGAGCTGGTCTGAAGCTGCAGCCCTACACCAGCCCAGGGGAAGTCGCCTTCACTCCAGCCTCCACATCAGCACCCCAAAATGCTGTGACCGGCCACTCGCACATCACCTGCTCCCCAAGCCGCCGTCTGCTGACAAGATTGGCAGCTCAGGGCACTGCCTAGGAGGACCACTGAGGCTGCGGAAGGGGTCTATGAGCTTGGGGGGACGCTGCCACCTGCACATGCTGTGGGATTCTCGGGCCAGCGAGACTCCACCTCCGCACAGCCCTCCCCCAGACACGGCCGGCCCTCCAACCACGCCCCTGCCTGCAAACGCCGTCCACGGCAGACCCACGTCATAGAAGCCCCAAACCCGGCAGCCCAGGTGTGTCCTCCAGCCAAGCCAGGCCTCGCCCTGTGAACTTTGGCCCTATCCTGGCCCACACCCCACCCTCCCCCTCACTTCCTCATGGGGTGAAGCTCCAGACAGACTGGGCGGGGGCAGCACCTCCCACGCTGGCAACCCTCCCCGAGACCATGGCCCCACTCCTAACTCAGCCCCGGACTTGGGAGGAGGCAAACTCTGGCCTTCACGGCACGTTTCAAGGCCTCTAACTCCGACGCGGAGTCCCTTGGGTTTGGCACAAATTCTCCCGCTCGGGGAAAGGTTAGCATGAGGTCTTGCTGGAACAAGGCCCCAGAACATCCGTGGCTTTGGCCCTTGCTGGACCTGGCCAAAGCTAACCCTGTCCACACACGGACCGGTCACCCTCACAAACCCAGACCTGGATGAGCAGCAAGGGGCAGGGCCAGGCACCGAGGAGCCGGAGCTCAGAGAGGCCCTCCAGGGCCCAGGGCGTGAGCCAGCAGGTTCTGTGCCCCTCGGGCAGCACAGTGCCTCTGTGAGTCTCCGAGCACTGGCCCTCGCCGTCCTGCTCTGGGTGGGGATGGATGTTTGTGCCCCAGGGGTGAGAGACCCAGCCCTGGGAGCCCCTGCAGGTGGGAAAAGGCGGGTCAGCAGTCCATCCCGAGGTGGCCACAGCCCGCCTGTGGGGACCCCTCCCGGAGCAGTCACCCAGAAGGGAGGGGCCCCAGTAGGGGCGCTGGGGCCCGGCACACAGTATGCCAAGCAAGGCTGGGCATGAAGCACGGGTCCACACGAGTACTCCAGAGACACATCTCAGGCCGCAGAGGCAGCCGTGGGCAGTGAGAGGCCCAGGCCACAGCCCGGGTTCAGATCCCCGGCCTGGCTGTGCACAAGTCACCAGGTCTCTGTGGACACAGGAACTGGGACCCCACAAACGGCCAAGGAGCCCGTCCTGTGCGCCCACCCTGCTCACGCTCCTGGCACCGTAGGTGCGCTGATACCCAGCCGAGGGGAGGGCGGCCAGCCAGCCGTAGGACTCCCCCTGGAAGCCTCGGTCAGCCAGTGCCACCCCAGCTGAACTAGCAGAGTCCCCCTGCAGACTCGCCTCGTAATTCGAGTTTTATAAAGCGTAGGTCACCGTCTTGGAAAATCCAGTCTGCGGACGCCAAGAGAAGCAATCTGGAAACAATTATGCATCGGAGCCGTGCTCCTAAAGGCTCTGGAAGCCGCTGGTTTCGGACACATCGAATCTCATTTCCTCGCAGGGGCACATGGGGCGGAGGGGGGCAGCCCAGCTGGGCTTACAGTTCTTGGAGAGGGGGTGGCTGAGGATGGACATCTTAGGGAGATTACCCCGGAATGCGCACAAAATGAACTGAAGACAGGAAACACAGGGTCGGGGAGACAGGCGGGGGCTACCACAGGGACCTAGGTGAGGGGGGTCAGGGTGCAGGCAGGGAGGACGGTGGGGGGCCCTCGCCAAGGACAGGTCACAGATGGCCACCTACTGTTCTGGCAGATGGGACTGCCCAGGGACACATGCAATTTCCAAAGCAAAAACTGTCCCAGGACACCCACCTGGGCCTCTGCACAGCCCATGACAGGTGGAAGGGGACACAGCCAGAACTGGGCCAGTGTGAGCTGAGGCCCAGGTAAGGTTCTGGGGCCTCCTTGGACTGTCATGGCAGCCTGTCACTGGTGTCCCCCGAGATGGCCCCAGGGGCCCTGGCCCGGGCTGGTCAGCTGCCCCCAAGTCCCATCTCTTGTGCCCTGGGAACTCCAATCACACCAGCTTCTCCTCCTCGCCTGTTCCCATCGCTCCCTCTTCCTGGTGGGGACACAGGTGGAGGCCACACCCTTCCACCCCAAAAGGCCAGAGATGGGCAAGATGAGAAATAATTATCCAGTAATTACAGTGGCCAGAGAAGCCAGGCAGGAAACAAAGTGACCCATAGAAAAAGGTCCGGTTCTCTCTCCTTTTCTGTCCCCAGGACATAGTGAGGCTTCTTTCACTTTTTCTGAACTTTGCTACTCATTCCCCACAGCCCATTCCAGCCCATCAGGGCCACCACCAAACTCGGAGCTGGGAAGGCCCCCCCAGTGGAGGGCTCTGTACCCACCTAGCCCACCCCCGGCATCACTCACCCCTTAACTCATCCAATAGAGCAGGTTTCGACAGGGGAGGAGTGATGAGGCCATCGGAACTGGGGACCCAGGCTGCCCGCACATCACAAGGCTCCCCGGTTTCCATGAGCATAACTGCTGTGCATTCACAGCCGGCACCCGCCCCTCTGGCTGTGGGGCTAAAACGCCACCGCCTTCCCACCTCATCTGCTCAAGGAGGCCTGCTCTGGGCAGGCATCACATGGAGCCCAGAGCTCAACCCCAACGATGGATGCGGCTAAGCCGGCAAGCCCCTGCTCTTCAGCTGCCCGAGAAGTCGTGCGACAGCCTGGAACCGGACGTCCTCCTGGGCTGCCCCAGGCAAACCAAGGAGAATGAGGTCTGTCTCTGCCCCCGAGACCCAGACAGAGTCCTCAGCCATCCTGCCCAACCCTACTGGACAATGGGGGCTCCTGGTGGTGCCCGTTTTCCCAAGGAGGCTTGGACTCTGGGGAGGACGGCCCCCAGACTGCCCGGCTGAGTTCCCCTGTAAGACCTCAGCACATGTTCTGGATGTGGCCCCAGAGCTTCATCCCTTAGCCCTGGATCTGGCCACGTGCCCACCTTTTGTGTCCTGCCAGATTTCTTCAGCACCTGTGCAGAGCAGCATGACTGGGGTGCCCTGGTGAGGCCCCCGGAGAAGGAGGAGGGCCTAGGGCAGGGTGGGGGGAGGCGAGTCCCACCCTGCCTGCAGGGTGGTGTCTGGGTCCCAAGTCCCCCAGCCCGCAGGCAGGCATCACCTCCCACAGCCCACCCCTTGCTCTGCGCCTGGAGAAGCGGTCTGCCTCTGCATTCTGGCCTCTTGGCTCCCAGAGCTGCTCGGTTCATACCAGGAAGCTGACTTGCAGCTCGAGTGCCCACTAGGTGACCACGTTCACTACAAACACTCCCAAGCGGAAACGTCCAGGGCCGGGAGCCCCACACACGTGGCTCATCTGGGAGCCTCTCTTTTCTCAAGTCAGCACAAACTAGAAGCTGTGACTCATCAGGGAGGGAGAGGGCGGGGCCCCCCAGGCGCCTGGCCAGAAGGCTCGTGCGCACCTGCCCGCCACAGGTGCCCTCCCACCTCCCTAAAGTCTCCCGAGGCTGCAACCAGGGTCAGTGCCGCAGCGAGCCCAGAGCCAAACGGCCAGCAGAGAGCCCGTCATGTCTGGCGGACGTCACCGTGGCCAGATGGCTGACATTCCACATTACGTACCCATTCCTCCAGCATTAAGGGCTTAGGGGCCCATCCCTGATGAAAGGCAAGTACCCCAGGAAGCAGGGACACACCAGCATCCCCAGACCCTGCTGCCCGTCTCCCGCATGGTGCTAACAAGTTCCTAACACACCCTCCTCTCAGCCAGCGATCACTAGTCAGAAACACCGAATTCAGTGACTGGATTTTTTCACATTTTGTTTTTATTGTGAGTTTATTCTAGGTCCCCCAGGGTGAGGCTGGGGTCCCCTCTCCCAGCTCTCCCACCCACCCTATAGCTGGTGATCAAGAGAAAGACTGTTGCGGTTAAAATTTCATTCAGGTACTGAGACTTACAGTAGCTTTTACCATCACCTTCCTGAGTTTGAGCCCTAGTTGAGCATCTGGGGGGGTACAGCAGGGTCCTACCTGGGCAGTCAGGCACTGGAGGGGTCCTACCTGGGCAGTCAGGCACTGGAGGGGTCCTACCTGGGCAGTCAGGCACTGGAGGGGGGCCTACCTGGGCAGTCAGGTACTGGGGCGGGGGGTGTTCCTACCTGGAAGTCCCACACTGATGTTCTCTAAGAGACTAGTTTACTTTGAGAGAGACTGAAGTTTTGGAAAGTGATCTGAGCCAAGAGTGCAGAACAATAAAATGTGGACATCTGTTAGCACATCTGTCTCTCCCCAACTTCAAATCTTTTATTTATCTCCAATAAAATGTGGAGATTATACTCTTCCTGGGGATGGCTTACCCCCCAAACCAGGTGTTTCTGCCTGAGCACTGCTGACATTTGCTGGAACTGCCCCGTGCACTGTGGGGTACCAGCAGCACCCTTGCCTGGCCCGCACCCCTGCCTGACCATCACCCGGGCCAGCTGGTTTCCTGGGGAATGCCCTCCGTGGAACCTGCTCACACCTTCCCACTGCCGGGAGGCTCCTGGCTGCTGACCAGCTTCAGAACTGACACGGATGGTGTCCCCACACGCGAGGGGCCCGTGAGATCACCTATGCCTTGAAGCAAGGGCGAGATGTTTGGCCTGGGCTCCTCTAAAAGACAAGGACTTGTGCACCTAGGCAGTCGGGCAGCTGGGCGAGGTGGGGCATGAGGGGTGAGACCTAGGCCATGCGAGAGCTCCTGGGGCCACTCACCTGTCTTTGGTCTCTGCCTCTGGGACTTTTCAGAGACCAACACTACCCTCCACACAGGGCCCTGCAAAGCTGGCTGCCTGCCTCAAAGGGAAAAACAAAGGAAAACCTAAAACCAACTCAGTATCCCTGTGCACACCCCCGCCCCATGGCTGCTGAGAGCCTCCATCCAGAGCTACGCCTGGAGAGCTTCCCAAGTCCCTGCCCTGCCTGGTTCCTCTACCCACAGCCCCTCTCCTGGCACGCTGCTCGTGTCGCCACTCCACATGGGATAACCCACAAAATGCCCCCAGAGTGGGGACCAGCCCCCTCCCCAGTTCAGGCCGTGCAGGCCCTGCATTATCCTGGAGCGTGAACCAGTCTTGGCTCCCACCCAGAACTCGCCAAGTTGGGGGCCTGACATCAAAAACACTCAGCTAATCCATACGTCAGGAGAAACGCCAGGGCACCCTTGCCTGTTACGGCCCCCACGGCACAGAAGCCGAGCACGGCAGGGAGCCGGGACCGTGGTCTTACCCACCCGCGGCCATGGCTCAGCCGCAGTTCCTGAGAACTAACGGGGCACCGTGCGCCCAACACCCCTCCACCCATGGGCTGTCTGCGGGCGCCCCGAGGCTGTCCTGGAGCCCCTCCCACCCCACCACCAGAGCACGCCACCCACCTGACGGAGTGTGCAGGTCCGAGCCTGCGGGCCGGCTGGTCAGCTCGTACTGGAAGCCCGTGGTCCTCCTGCTGATGTCCTGCTGGGGCGCGGCCTCCACGAAGAGCCCACCGTGCTCGAAGCCAAAGCAGCTCACCCGGCCAGGCCCGCGGTCCCCATCCCGGACCAGCAGCTTCAGTTCTCCAGTTTTCTCCAAATAAATGTTGGCCCCAGAGGAGCCTTTGAGGGGCTTGATGCACAGCGTCAGGAGGCGCGAGGGCGGGAAGGTGTTGGGCCGCACGTTGACAATGAGCGCCCCTGTCGGGTACACCCACTCCACGGAGCCCGCGGCGCAGCGCAGGTACACCTGCTCCACCTCCTTCCTGTGGGCCTCGTGCGTCAGTCCGCTGGGGGAGGGGGGGGGACAAGTGTCAGCACGCACGTGTGGCCTCCGCCGGCCCAGGCGGCCGAGCAGCCCCCACCCACATGCAGGCGGCCGCCCCCTATGTCCAGCCCACCGGTCTGGGGAGGGGTTGCACATGGTCCTGCGGCCAGGCCCCTCTAGCAGGCCCGCCCCAGAGAGTCGCTGCAAGACGGGCCGCGGTGGTAGAGGCCACATGTGTCTCACACCTCGGCACCTGGGTGTGCCAACCTTCAGGGGGGCACCGGGAGCCTGTGTCCTTGGGGTTCCCTGCACCGTGGAGGCAAGGACCACGGAGGTAGAACTTCTGGGACATGACAAGGACACAGGACCCTACCACCAACCCAAGTTCCCGGTGACCTACGGAGGGCTGGGAAGGACAGCAGATTCCCTCCGAGTGTGAGAACAAGGGGCCGGTTTGCTCGCCCCAGTGAGTGATGTAAGCCCCTGGGGATTGGAGGCTGTTGGTGAGTTTCGTCTTCAGCACCTTCCAGACAGACATGTTTGTGTGTTCCCTACAGTGAAGGCTCGATAGCGCTTTCATCTGCAAACCTTGGGTCCCCCGGGGGGCGCCCTCGGTTCTTGATTCGGCCCTCGGCTCAGGTCAAGATCTCAGGGTCCTGGGATGGAGCCACCGCCCATTGCCCTGCTCTTAGATTTTCTGTATTTGACAAAGAGAGTGAGCAGGTGAGAGAGAGAGAGCACAAGCGGGGGGAGCCGCAGAGGGAGAAGCAGACTCCCTGCAGAGCAGGGAGCCCGACACAGGGGCTCCATCCCAGGACTCTGGGACCATGACCTGAGCTGAAGGCAGATGCATCACCGGCTGAGCCCCCCAGGTGCCTCCAAACAAATAAAATTTAAAAATAAACCCTGAAGGGGCACCTGGGTGGCTCAGTGGGTTAAAGCCTCTGCCTTCAGCTCAGGTCATTGTCTCAGCGTCCCGGGATCGAGCCCCGCATTGGGCTCTCTGCTCGGTGGGGAGCCTGCTTCCTCCTCTCTCTCTGCCTGCTTCTCTGCCTACTTGTGATCTCTGTCTGTCAAATAAATAAATAAAATCTTTTAAAAAATTAAATTAAATTAAAAAAAAATAAGCCCTGAAGACCCCACACTGCCAACTGTATTTTTTTTTAAGATTTTTATTTATTTATTTATTTAGAGTGAGAGAGAGCATGAGAGGGGAGGTCAGAGGGAGAAGCAGACTGCCCATAGAGCTGGGAGCCCGACGTGGGACTCGATCCCAGGACTCTGGGACCATGACCTGAGCTGAAGGCAGTTGCTTAACCCACTGAGCCACCCAGGCGCCCTGCCAACTTTATTTTTTAAAAACAAACTCGTGGGGCACCTGTGTGGCTCAGTGGGTTAAGCCTCTGCCCTCAGCTCAGGTCATGATCTCAGGGTCCTGGGATCGAGCCCCGCGTCGGGCTCTCTGCTCAGCGGGGAGCCTGCTTCCTCCTCTCTCCCTGCCTGCCTCTCTGCCTACTTGTGATCTCTGTCTATCAAATAAATAAATAAAATCTTAAAAATAAAATAAATAAAACCAAACTCGAACAGCATGAAAGCCAGAAACAAAGGTAAGGGGAGGGTCCTCCCCGGGGGACAGACACCACGGGGACTGCGTGCAGAAGCCACAGGGAGAGAGACACAAACAGTGAGTGGACCGTTCATCTTCCCAAGGAGAAGCTCTGAGTGCCACGTTCACCTCACTCCCAATAAACATTAAATAGGAAAATATGAAGTGTGCTACACTCTTGGTGAAACAGGTCGGGAGTAAAGTCATTACCTTATGTTTTCAAGAAATTGAAACCCTCAAAAATGTTAAAGCTTCCTCTACTCCAAATTTTAATGTGAATGTCAGCTTGTGCCGATGGTTACGTCATAGCCACCAAGCAGCCTTGGAACTCAACCAGTGACTTCAACCGAGTGTTTTATTACACGAAATTTGGTTCTGATCAGATCTCAGACAGGTTCACCCACATTCTTAGGATTTTTGTGTATAATAAACAATGCTATATTCAGTGCTCTGGCCTGAGTGAGTTACCAGAAACCATTTCTACAGAGGAGAAAACACGTAACATATGGTTTGCATTTACTGTTGGTGACTCACGCCCTGGGCTCCAAAAAACCTCACTTTTCATACAACGGCCAGCTGCAGGCTGGGGCTGCACAGTCATCCTGCAGACCACATCAGAGGGAGGTGTCAAGGAGGTGACCCCCCTCCTAACCCCACTCCCTGCCCCCACAAGGCCCTGGGTCACTAGCAGCCAGCTCAGCCTCAGACGCCTACCAGGGCCGCACACACAGAACAGACTTACAAATTATAGTCAAGTAAAACTCATATAAGCTCATCTGACACATATGTGCAGACGAGCATAATTATAGTGCTGTGTGAAAAAATTAGACTAAATGGTGAGTGGTTGACACAGATGACTATAATCAGCTCTGCTCTTATGCAGCCAAAACGAACTTTATCATAGTGTGCCTCCTCTCCTGTCTCCAGCCTCAAGAGGCAGCTGGACACTTGCCCCATGCCCAAACACCAATCCTTAAAGCTCTCTCCTATAAAAACCATCCTGTCCAAGTCTTCACTTCCCTCTCTGTGGGGGGAGGGGCCCTGGGGCTCAAGGGAAAGGAAAGCCCATACCAGAGGCTTCGGATCCCTCTCACCGAGTCACTTAATCCAAACAGTGGAGGGGGATACCGGGAGGTCCACCCCCCACCCACATCTTGGGCAGGGGCAGAAGGGACACTTGTGGGGACAGGTGACCAACCATGGCTCCCCAGGGAGAGGCGGACCTGAGTCGGGGGGCTGGGCTGCCATCCCCAGCCTGCACATATCACCCTGGACATCTTGTGTGGTGCACATGGCCCTATTTATTCCTAAGTCCCTCTACTAAAAGAGGGCCAGGAACAGCAAGAAGTGGACAGAGAACTTCACCCTTCAACTAATGTCTTCACTGGCCCCAGGGAAGGGTCTACACCCGCCCCAGAGTCCACCGCCAGCATGGGACTCTGCTCTGCCTCTCCCCTCATGCTCTCTTGAAGCACAGACATGACCAGGCACTCGACACGGGTGTTCACACGAAGGCGAGCAGCGTGTGCGATGCGAGACATTGACCCCATCCAGCAGACCCACCAGTCTCTCGGCCTGGGACCCCAACGGGTCTTTAATGAAGTCAAGGGCTCAGAGTCTGTCTGGCTCTAAGTTTCCAGCACCACAGCAAACCTGAAAAAATGTCTGTTTCTGCAAAATTGCTGGAGGAGCGAAAATGTGCCCTATCTGTGACATCACTGATGCTGGCACCTGTGAGCCTCAGAGCACGCCTATCAGACAAAAATAAAGTAACTGGTTTCTGATGGGATGGGTGAAGCTAAAAAGTATGTGTATGTGGCTCTGGCCGGCCCCAGGGGGGAACGCGGCTCTAGCCATATGTGTGGACGAGCATAACCCTAGGGCTGCAGGGAGCTGAGGACACAGACTGCTGCCAGGATTATCTAAACTGGGTTCACACACCGTTCCCAAAAAAAGGAGTCTGCAAGTGTCACTCCCCAGGTGGACACACCTAAGGGGCACCATCATGGAAAGGACAGCAAATTCCAAATTGATACAGACTTTCTGGAGAGGCCAGTGTGGGGGCAGCAGGGCCCACACCCCTCACACCCACAACCCGGACCACCGGAGGCACCAGGAGTAAGAGGTGGTCTCCTGTTTACAAGTCAGGAGGAGCGTTCAGATGGAGGGAGAAACTAGAACTGGAGTTAGCTTTCATTTCCCCACCCAGCAGGAGAATGAGGCCAGGTGTGAGGGACCCACACCCTTGCCGATGGTGGTGGGAAAGTTCGTGGTCCACCTTTACGACCACAGCCTAATAAAGATCAGGGTGCTGTCTGCCCCTGCTCACGGGACGGGGATTGCACAACCTCCTGCTTCATTGCTTGGAAACACCCAGAAACGCATTTCAGCCTGTCAAATGTGCGCAGCCAGTGTCATAAACAGAAACTCCCTTCCTATCTGGGGATCAGAATCCACCCAGCATATCGGGACTCGCACCACCCTGTGCTGTCCTTAGAACAGCTCATAAAAAGTCATAAATGTTCTGGGGGTCAGCAGGCAGATCAGCACGCTCGGATTCCCACAGCAAGGATCTATCAGCTGACCGGCGAGGCATATTGATCACTGGGGAAGCAATGATAATGCAAAGGGGGCCTTATGTTCCAGGAGTGTGGCCTGGCCCTGTCTTCTCTCCAGCTCCGACTGTGGCAGCCCCTGCCGGACTCTGCCTTTGGGCTGAGTGAGGATAGCTGGAGGGAGTCCAGAACCAGGGGTATGTCAGCAATGATGGAGACAGAAGGGTGGCAGGCAAGTGCCCCTGCTTTTCCAGGTAGAGAAGAGGATACAGACACCTGCTGGGTCCAGGAGCTAGCTGGCCCTCAGGACTTTATGCCTGGAAGGGGACGCCTGTCCTGGGGATCGGAGGGGTCTTCGAGGGAGCGCTGGTCAGAGCCTGAGAGGATGTCAGCCCCTCTGGAAACCCAGGCTCCCAAGGTGGGACCAGGTCTGTTTCTGATCTGCGGAAGGAGGACACCCTAGACCTCAGTTTGGGGGTGCACTGATTCATCCAGCAGAAGCTGCAAAACAGGGAGTTTAATTACCAGCGTGGGGGAAAGGGCAGCCCTGGAAGAGTGTGTCAGAGTCGGAGGCTCCCGGCCAGCTCAGGGCTGGCGCCAGCATTCTCCAGGCCAACCCTCCCCCAGAGCTCCAAGCTCGTGGCCCCAGTCTCAGCTCCTCCATCCCTGCTCTGGCGTGTGCAGGGAGTTGGTGTGGTGGGGAGGAAGGCCACCACAAGGCCCAGCCTCCGCAGCCCAGGACCCTGGCTGTAGGAGGGGTGGAAAGGAGCAGGGGACTTGCCAGCATCCACAGAGACCTGGGTCTGTAAGTACCCAAGATGACCAGCGGCTGCCCTGCTGACACAGAGCCCAGCACACTGGCACAACCCCAGCCTTCTCGGAAAAACTGTCTTCACTCAGAATAACCCCGTGATACCCTCCAGCATGAGGTGTGAGCCTGCGGGAGGCTTCCCATCAGACGTCAAGGCCAAGGGGCTCGCGTAGAGGCCCTGCTCCATGGAACAACCCCACGCGGAGAGCCACCGGCAGACCCGGCCCGCAGTTTCGGAGAAGGAGATGCTCATCGCCCTCTGCAAACTCCTTCACCCGCACGAAACTCGGTTTTCCAGCTGCGAGCTGCCTGCCGCGGGGCTGAGGGCGCCCTCGGCGGATGGCGGTTTCTCACCCCAGGAGCTGTGCCCTCAGGAGCCCCGCCCGCGCACACTTGTGACTTGCACTCCTTTCTGCTTGTCACACTTCAGTTTAAAAAAAAGTCCTCGGCTGCCACAGTGGAGGGGCATGGGGCGGGGGGTGGGGGGGTCGCCGAGCCCAGCGCGCGCGCTGCCAAGGGCGGCCTGACCTTCACCGGGTCCCGGGCGGGGACAGGGCGGGGGGCGCCCGGCGGGGCCAGCACTCCGCCCGCGCACAGGTGTCTGCCCGCGGGTCTCCGCACGCACAGGCGTGGTCCCCGCCGCGGTCAGCGCCAGGCCCGGCTCTGTCCACCCGAGCCCCCCGCTCCCTCCCGCGGACCCGCCGGCCCTTCCCGCTCGGCCCTGAGCGCAGGCCCGGCTCCTCCCGCCCGGGGCGCGCAAGTCCTCGCCGCGGGCAGAGCCGGGAAGGGCCGGAGGACCGGCCCCCGCCCGTGCGGGGTCGGCGCGGGACGAGTGGGCTGCCGGGTCGGGACCGACCCCGCGGCGCGGCGGGCGCACCTCCCCCTGGGCGTCCTCAAGGCCGGGGCACCCGGACGCCGCGGGCTCTTTTGTTCTAGACCCGGGGGCGGGGGCGGGGGCGACGGGGACGGGACTCAGCCCGGAGAGCGGGCGCCCGAGTCCCCGCCCGGGCCGCGCCCCCGCACGGTCGGCGGGCCCGGGAGGGGAGCGCACGCGAAGGGAGGGCGGTGGACCCGGGCCGGGGTCTCGCCGCGCGGACTCACCTCCCCTTCCAGCTGCACAGGTCGCTCGAGTACTGCGCGCCCGCGCCGCCCAGCAGTGCGGCCAGCAGCAGCAGCAGCGGCAACGGCGGCGGCGGCGGGCCAGGGCCCGGGGCGGGGGGCCGCGGCCACAGCTGCCCGGCGCGCCCCCGGGCCGCCCGCGCCGCGCCCCGCATGCTCCCGCTCCGGCTCCGGCTCCGCCGCCGACCCCGCGTCCGCGCCCACGGAGCAGACCCTCAGCCCGGCGCGGCCGGGAGGGCGGGCGGGGCTGCAAGTCCCGGTGAGTCACGTCGTGCGCCCCCCGCGCACCCGGCGCGGCCGCCCGCCCATCCCGGCCGTAGCCGGGGCCACCCGAGCCGCTGCAGCCGCTGCAGCCGCCGCAGTCGAGCAAAGAGCGCCGCGCCCCGCCGCCGCCACCGCCACCCGAGCCTCTGAAGTAGGCGAGTCCGCCGTCCTGGTCCCGGCTCAGCTGGGGGGCGGGTCCGCCGGCCGCTCCGCCCCCCCGCCCCCGCCCCGGGCCCGCCCCGGGCCCGCCCCGCGCGCCGGAACTCCGCCCCGAGTGCGCGCTCGAGCCCCGAGTGCCCGGCCGGGGGCCGGGGGGCGGCTCCGCCGAGAGGTGAGGCGGCTCGAGGGACCTGGAGAAGGATCCGCGAGACGCCCCGGCCGGAGAAGGGCGGGGCGCCAGCGCGTCCCGGCCGGTGCGATGCGGGACCGGGACCCCAAGTGCCCGCAGACCCGAGCCGGCGCCCGGCCCGCCGATCCGTCCTCAGCCGCGGTGCTGTGACCCCGTCGTGCGGACTGAGCCGGGAATGGCCGCTGGGCTGTGGTGGCGGCTCCTGGCCTTGCCGCTACTGTGTGACCCGTGTCCCATCCGGGATGTTCCTGGCATCCAAACCCACGCAGAATCGGAGAGTGCTTTGCAGAGGTTCAGACTTGGTCCTGCTCTGCGACCCACGGGGCAGGGGAGGCCCAGCTGCAGCTGGTGATGGGACCAACTCACTGTTGAGTGCACCGTGGACTCTGGAGTACCCCCTCCACAGAGGGCTCTGGGCCGCAGCTCGTGGCGGAGCTCTGCCTGCTGGTCCTCACCAGCCCCACCCCCGATTGGCTAGTACCCGCTTCACAAGCCTCACGCTGGATTCCCCCTGGGGACATCTGGTGCATTGTAGGATTTTAGCAGCATCCTGGCCACTATGTTCTAGATGTCATCACCACCTCCCCCAACCCCGCCCCACACACAGGTTTGGCAACCCATACTGTCTCCAGACACTGCCAGATGCCCCCTGTGTGCAAAATCTAGCGCTGAGACCCCTCTCCTAGCAGCACCCAGCTGGTGAGTACAGTGTGATCAGGGTGGCTTCCTTCACCGGGTAGTCACTGCGGTCACCAAGTGCCTAACATCCAGTGAGGGAGACAAAAGGAACACCAGCGGCCCCAGCTCTGATGGGAAAGGTGTCCTCCTCTGGCTCCGAGGGCCTGATGCCAGGAGTCAGGGCGGGGGCTGGTTAGAGGATGGGTGGGGGACTCCCAGGTCTCCCATCCTACCTGGTCATCATCCTGGAACGGTGAAGAGGGTCCACCGGGCAGAGGGAGGAACCCATGGAGTTCCACATTGCCACCTCTGTGCTCACAAAAGCAGGTTTTTCTGCTTTCCCCAACGCTCTGGAGTTGGTCTGAGCTCCAGAGCCTCAAACAGCAAGTGATGAAGAAACCAGACCTGGCTTTCATATTCCTTGTCCAGCCAAGAAGCATTTCAGGAGGAATTTCAAGTGAGCTTTGGGGAGGGGAGTGACCTCTTCCACATGCTGGTCTGTACGTTGTACCCTTCTGGTCTGGTCAGAGGGTTAGAAATGTCCTTGGATGGAGGGATGGAATTGTCACCCTCTGGAGAGGTCTCGACTGCAGGCCCCCAAACAGCTAGAACTGAGAGCAGCCAGGAGCCCTGGGCAGAGGAGTCAGAGCCCCTGAAGGTGGTTACAATTGAGGGGTCTATCTAGAGAAGCCCTGGACTGGGTAGGTCAAGCCCTTGGGTCCTGCCCAGGCATAAGAAGGGATGTCATCCCAAGACCCACAGGCAGTTTTGAGGCTGAGGAGTCCATTCCAGGCTTGGGGGCCTCCTACAGCCCTCACCCCACCCCCACCCCCTTAGAGTGTGTGTCCTGCCTCCTTCCTTGCAGGTACCTGGGTGCAGAAGTGCTGTGACAAGTGGGTGAAGTGAAACCACTCCCCGGGCCCCTGGGTAGAGGAACCTGCTGGTTGTGAATCTGGAAACTGCAACCACCTCTCACCTACAGCCGTGTCCATGCAGCTCTGTAGCCCCTTGTACCCAGAGGTCTGCCTGTGGTCAAGCAGCTGCCCGGACAGGGTTGTCAGGGTCCAAGGTCCACTCGGGGGCAGGGGCAGGGGCAGGGGTGGCTTTAGGCCCCTCATGTTACAGGTGCTGAGACTGGGTGCTCCTGGCCTGAGGGACATTTCAGAAGGCTTCATGGGACCAATGGGCAGAGACCATCTCTGGGGCGGTGTGGAGCTGGTTCCCATCCTAGTTCAGGGCTCTGTGAGCTGGAGAACTGCCAGACCACCTGTGCCCAGGTCCACTTCCCTAAAGCTAGGACTCTACAGTGGTGCCTACAGGACGTGCAGTGGTCAAATCCATAGAACACACAAAACTGAACAGTGCAGCCTTTTGTCAGTAATATGTCAATATCAGCTAATTGATTATAACAACCCTATAGGCTAATGCAAGATGTTAATAATGGGGGATTGGGGAAGTACATCCGAACTCTTTGCTCTGTTTTTCTGTAACCCTAAAATAGTGAGCCTACTAATTGAAAACAAGAGCTGCTGGAATGCTGCTCATCGACAGTGCTCTTGGACAGGTCCAGCAGGATCTGGGAAGGGCCTGGCCTTGCTGCTCTCAGACCTCAGGCTCTGTGACAGACCCTCCCTTCTGGGGACACAAGTGCCTCCAGATTCCTGAGGGTCTCCGAAGCAGGAATTTCCAGATTTCCCTCCTGCTGACGAGCCACCAGTCAGCCATGGGGTGGGGCCTCGGCCGCAGAACTGGTTCCTGGGTCTCCGCTCAGCTCCTGGGAAGGGTTAGGCTTCCACCACTCTCAGGGCCTCCTGGGCACATGTGTGCCTGGCAAAGTGGGGCTTCTGACCCCTCCTAATCCTGTGATGAAATGTCCCCTAAATGTGTCCCTGGCACCTGTAGTGTCAGGCTCTCTGGGGACATGTCAGCTTTGGGCTTGGGGACAAAGGGTGAGGTGGGCCATGACTGTCTGAGGCTTCCCAGGGACCACCTGCCCCACTTCACCCCCTGGGGACCAAGCAGGAACAAAGAAGCCCCTGTGGGATTGAATCGGAACCAGAAGGGTCCTTGCCCACTAGGAACGTGGGTCCTCCTGCAGGAAGGGCATTTTGGAGCAAACTCACCCGCAGATGGCTGGGGGTCACTTCCCAGGGAGCATGTCTCCAGTTAAACCCAGCAAGAGGCCAAAAAGGCACCTGAGCCCCCCCACAGTAGGAAGGAAGTGGGCATCGTGGCGTCCAGAACAACACTCGGGGACTTCCTGCACTCTCTGTCCTCCAGACACTGGAGGGAGTGTTGGCAGGGGGAGAGCAAGACCAGCACCTGCTGGTGTCACAGAGGCAGAGCTGCCCCTTTGCACCTGCTCGTGAAGGGACCCTGCCCCACCCCAGCTGATGGCCGCCAAGGTGCCCCACCCTCCTGCCCCAGTACCTGCTGTGACCAGAGGAACAGGGCGCAGGGCTCAGTCACGGGCTCAGTGGTGACAGCAGCCCCCAGCACAACTCAGCGTGCCCTAGGAGGGGAACATCATGAGGGAGGACAGGTGCCGGTCGCTTGCCCACGTAGCCACCCACCCCACCCCACAGGCCCCCCACAAAGCATGTGTGCGGTGGGTCAAGTCTGTGGCCCAGATTCGGGTTTGTATCAACATTCACTTGTCACCTGCCTTTCACTCAAGAAATGTTTATCAGATGCCTCCTGGGCCTGTGTCTGTGATGAGTTCCAGGGCAGTGGCCCCTGACCGGGGCCAGTCTCAGAAGGCAGGCTGTGGCCAGGCAGAGAGAGCTCCTCACACCCCACAGCAGCAGCGGTGGCCTCCAGTGTGACCAGGACCATGATTATGACTGTGTGCCTAACGCTCACTGGGGCCAGGGTTGGAGGGGCTGCATGCCCTCTCCCAGACTCTGAGTGTCAGGGTGGGTGCTGGTGCTGTGGGCAGTGGGTGGGTCAGACGTGGCTCCTCCCTGGTCTGGCTCACAGGAGCTGTGTGGTCAGGGTCTCTTTCTGGGTCTCAGTTACTTGCCAAGTGGGTGGTGTCTCAACAGTCAGGGTGATGTCAGCTTCATGATATCGTCACACAAAGCCTCATACCAGGTGGACGTGGTAGGCCTGGCTCTGTAGATCGGACTCAGGTGTCAAGCTGCCAGCCTGGCTCTTGGCAGGGTTCGGGCCTTCTTGTGCGGGCCGGCTCCCCAGCGTGCTCCCCACGGTACAAGTTCTTTGAGCCACTAACGTGATCGAACCATGTAAACACTTTTATTTTCTGCCCTGAAAACCTCGAGGTTTTCAAGTGTGTATTGATGGTCGTTCTGTTATTCCAAATGACATGTCACCTGACTCTGCTCACTGAAGAATCAGCTGGAAGCTTCCAGAAACTTCCTCTGATCACCCTCTCCACCTTGCCCTTTGCTGTCCATATGAAAACCCCCAGCCCTCTACCTGCCTAGGGAGGGAGGATCAAGCATGACCCAGGGCCCTCCCCGCTCAGACCCCCGGCCTCCCAAGTCACTGCTGTCACACCACTTCCCCTCTGAGGTCATTTTTGCTGACCTTCTCATAGGGACATAATTACTGTAATTGTGGTCAAACGCTTGTGATTTCTGTTAAGCAATTGCAACGAGTAACGTGTAATTAGACGTAAACCAAGCCAGCCAGCCTCAACCCAGTAACCCTCACCTAAATGCCTCCCTAACCTAATTTGCCAGCACAGTCTGCTGTCTGTGCGGAGGAAGGTAGGAGGGAGAAAGTGGGCAGCCAGCTGGGGTGGAAAACGAGGGGCTCCACTCCCATCCGTTGCCCATGGGGCCAGGCACCGGGCGTGGGTGTGTCCAGGCCAACCGGCCAGGTGTGTGGTGACCGCCCTGGGCTGGTCTGGGGCTC